TAAAGCATTTCTAAAGGGCTATGCAGAGCTCTTCTGTGAAGGTAAACTTAAGAATTTCATCAGCCATTGGGGCTGGGCCCATCATGTCTCGGGGAAGAGAATTTGGAGGAAGCTTTAGTAGAACAGCAGCCACAAGGAGTGGTGTTTTGTGGTTGAAATTTCCAGTTCTGTTAGCTATGGTGGCTTTGGTATCCTAATGAAATTCTGCTGAAACCTCACACATCCAGGAGTTTACCAGGTCTGAGTGATTGAAACAGCACCCTTTGCTCTTTTTATTTTAATTATCGTGGCCATTAAAAACAAGAGAGGTTCTTAAGCAACAATTGATAAAATGTCTGTGTGCACATATGCTAACAAAATATTTGTCCGGATTCCTTGCAAAAGAGGAAAAAAATAAAATCTCTAATGGCAATATTTCTGTTGTAGGGGATTTATTGTTTCTGTAGCCAGACTTCTGTTTTCCATGGATAAATGTAGCAGTCTGTTTATGTCTGAACATTAAGCATTCTTCAGAGCTACCCAGAGCATTAGCTGCTCCTTTAGCATATCATGTTTGGTATCAAACTGATGATTGGTATGTTTTTGGGGAATTATTATGCACAGCAGCCTGACAGGTTTTCCTGTTATCCTACCTATTGGGAATGTGTTTGAGCCCGCCTACAACTGCAGAAATATCCCTTTCTTAGGCTGTTATTTGATGATACAATAACTCTAATTGTAGTGTAACTCCAGTATACATTATCAAATGGTGATTAAGAGGTACCCAATAATAATCTGATGTATAAACTTTCTCTGCCAGTTCAGGTTTATCTGAAAAAACCCCCTAAAGAACCAAAAAACCTATTAGGCCAGGAGCCTTCTCGGGTGGCATCTGTTCTCCAGCATTTGGCATGAGCCTGGACAAGGAGTACAAAGCTAGCACAAACATGTGGAGTGGAATAATGATTTGTCAGAAACACAACCAGATTTGCACCGTTGGGCACTGATCAGCCTGCAGATCTGGTGTTGGTGAGAGTGGAATTTGACCTGCTCTTTAATGGATTTTAGTTGTGAATTTTAGTGTGAATGGTTCTCGAGGGACAGAGGTACAGGGGTGAGACCTGCCCTGACTGAAACACAGACACACTTCTGCCAGGCTGGGGGCAAAGCCAGAGTTAGTGTTGTCTCTGGGATAAGAAACCTCGTTTCCTTTGAAAAAATGAATTTTTGTGTGATTGCTGGCATGGAGTGAGTGGGTCAGTTTGTCTAAAGCACAGGCGTGTGTCTTGTCTGCTCCTGACCTGTTAGTGAGGAAATCTCAAGTCCAGCCTCTCTATAGACTGTTGACTTTTATGGCTGATGGGTGTTATGCCTGATAAATTTTGGGATTTTAGGGACTTTCTATAGCAGCATTAAAAATTACCAGGGCTATCTGGATGTTGTGCTGATTCTGACTGAGCTGTGGTGTTACAAACCACAGGCCCATCCTCTGGGAATGGAAATGAAACCCGGGAAGGGGCTGCTGACATTGAATTTCTTTTGGGCAGGGGATATCGATCCTGGTGTGATCAGTGTGCAATTTGGGCATCGTTCATAAGCTCTCTGCCCATCCTTTTTTTACCTGTCATGGGGTGTTTTATTTATTTATTTAATCCTGGTTTTACCAGTGAGGAATTCACTTCACATGTGCTGTGCCTGCTCCAGGGTGCAAAAGAAAAGTAGAGGCAAGTGGGAGAGATTTCCTTTAAAAGCATAATTGGATCTAAAACAGCAATGTGGGTGCATCATACTTTGTAATTGCACAGAATGTTTTGAGGAAGACCTGGAATATTCCTAAGGGCAAGAAAAAAAAAAGGGCCTTAAGGATCTCATCACATTTTTAGAATGGGTTTGGGACATAAAGCTGCAAATATTTTAAGATATTTTTAATGGTCCCTATGCAAATTAGGCTATAAATCTAAGACTGCTAGGAATTACATGTTAACTTATACTTATTTTTTTCTCATTTGTGTGTCTCTTAGGTGATTTAATTTCTGCATATAAAATGAAGAATATTATTATCTATTAAAGTGCTCCATATAAGTAGTTGATTGCTTGTGGAAATAGTGAATTGGGGGGGAATTAGCCAGCATTGATGAAGTCATTTTTTTTAGGATGTACAAGTGTACATTCATGGGTCCATTGTCACAAATAATTTGAGGGTTAGCAGAGTAAGCCTGGTGTTAATTCAGTATGTGTCAAAGGGAAATAATTATTGCACCCTCCTCTAGTGTATTTTCTGTTTAATGTGCTGTTTTGCTTTGGGTTGGAAGGAAGGTTTGGTGTTGCTCGTTCTTCTCACATTTCTTGTCCTGGGCTGTGGGATGCTTGTCCCAGGCTCAGCCTGGGATGAGATGGGGGAAACACAGCAAAAACCCTCTAGAAAATGCTAAGGAGCGCTGAAAACATGCACAAAGCAGGATTTGGATAAAACACCGGAACGTTTCGCCACCCTTTCCAGTGTGAAGCCGTGTATTTTTTGGTAGCTGTTTGCGTTTTTTGTGGGTGCCACCGCTGGTGCTGCAGTGCCACCTCCCGATGGCCGGGCAGGACAGCGGGGACAGCTGCCCTTCCAAAGCCTCTCCTGCCAAACACCCAAACCAGCCTCCTAAAAAAACCGGCCTGCTGTGATCCGGCTGGGGTGAAGAACACTTCTGACAGACTAGCAAAACGTTAGGGTTGTTTTTTTTTTTTTTTCTTTTTCTTTTCCCTTCAGCTACCCAGCTGCATAACAGGGGAATTGATGTGGCACCTCCACGGTTCTGCTTTGAGGGGGGGAGCCCCCTTTATATAAATAATTCAGGACCTCTCTGTGTGACAAATAGCGCTTTCATCACATTTCTGCGGTTTGATCTGTTGTTTTTGGTGATGCAGCAAGATTTTGAAAATCGGTGACAGACCCACAAAACAAATACTGCCATTTGTGTGTACGTAATGTAAAAAAACCTTCCTTATGAGTGTCTTTAAAGTTAATTACCTTCTCCTCTGAAGGAAAATATTGTTCCTCTTCCTATGGCATTCTTCTGTTAAAAACACTCTTAAAGATATTTTGCTCCACGTATGGCAACAAAATATAGTTGAATAAAATGAGTGTTTCGTCCTGCACATGGTGGAATCGGTTGCTAATGCATGAAATGGCTAAAAATGCCATTCATTTTACAGTCTGCTGAGTAAACAACTCCTCAAAGTATATAGGGGAGTTTGGCAGGGATGTCTTGTACCCCAGGTATGGCTGGAGCTGTAGAGGAGTGGGGTAGGGTTGGTATCAATGTACCTTCCTTTACCAGTTGTGTTGCACTTACTAGAAGTCACTTTCTTAGGGCAGCTTTTTCCTTTAGAAACGAGAAGGATTTAAGTAGAACTGCAAATTTATTTTTTCCTTAAGAAACTAAAGCCATCTCCCCTACAGCATGGCTGTGAGCCTGGTGACCACATGCCTGGGGCGAGTTTGGGGATGTCCATGTGTGGTTTCAGGCAAATAAATTCCTTTTCATACCCAGGTTCATCCTTTTAGACTCTCCTCTTCTTGAGGGGTTTCACTGGGTCTTGTCTTCCCAGCACGATGGGACTTGTGGGAAAGTCACATCCTAGAGGGCTGTTCCCACTGTCCATTCAGCTGCAGCTGACTGGTAAAACTCAGTTAGGTATTCAGAAAAACAGTGTGGTTGTTTTCTTCTGTTGCCTTGGGAGTTCTTGCTAGGAGCAGATGCCCAGGGAGAATACACATAGCAGCCTTAAAATGCCAGTCATAATCTTGTAGTTGTTACTTTCTATTTGGTGTTCACCACTTTCCCACTGGAGCAGCAGTGTAAGTGGCCTGGCTGTGTAGCAAGGACTTTTTATTTTGAGCAGTGTAGAAAAACCCATTCTCTAGTACTTTTTTTACACCAAACTTTGTCAAATAACAGTAGGAAAGTCACTTGCCTTCTCAGACTCCAGTTCCATAGGAAAAACAATGGTGGTGGTCAGCTGGGTTAAAAACCTGGGAGGGTTTGCTAATGAAAAATGCTGGACAGATAATAGGAACAGGAGGTGGACATTGTTTCATAACATATTCTGGATGCTGATGTTTTCACTTGTTTACTTGGAAAGTTCAGAATCTTCAAATATTCAGACATCATGAGAATGTTCTCAAAAACGAGACTTTGAGTTAGAAAAAATACTGTATTCGGTCTCTTCATGTCTTAAAGACTGTTGCCACCTCATATTTTCCAAGTTTATAATCAAAAGTGATATATAGTTTGATACATTACTTGTCTTACTAGATATTTGCCATTACTAAAATAAAGAAAAAATTGTGCATGTGTAAATATATATATCCCATCAATATTTTTGAAGCACTGATTGGAAGCCTAGGGAAGTGTTACTAAAAATGTACTGTTTAACGTTTGTTTCTAATGTGAAGAATTTTGCAAAGCCAAAAAGTGTGGCTGAGGTGTTTTCTCATCTTTAGTGGGATTAGCTGGGCTTGTCTGAACAGACACCATGTTATAGTTCATACTGTTCTGTACCTTTTCACTAGAGCACGAGTACCTGAAAATTGGAGTAGATAGGAACATAAAAGTGAGAACCTGCCTGGATGCCAACGTGAAAACAGGTTCTTGGTCTTTAACCAGGCAGAGAGACCCATGTTACAAAAAATGTGTTCCATGGCAGTAATGTAGATTGGATGAAACTTACTTATTTTTTAAAAGCTGTGAAATGAGGCCTTTTGTAGTACTGGTATTAAACAGCAGAGTTTCCCAGTCCATACCAACTTGCATCGTATGAGAATCCGGCCCTTCAATATTTAATTTACTGACCTTTATCTTGTGGTGAGACAAATGACTTTTTAATGACTCCAGCAGACTTATTTGCATTTTAAAATAAAGCCATTGTCTATGCTGCCAGGGAGCTACTTACTTTATAAATATAGCATTTGTTGGGAAATACCTATTAGGTACTAAAAATATTTAATTGACCTACTTTTTTTTTATTTGCAGGGTTGTGTCCTTTGTTGTGACCTCATGGTTTAACTGGGAATAAAGATGAGTATAAGCAGTGATGAGGTTAACTTCCTGGTATATAGATACTTGCAAGAGTCAGGTGAGTTTTTACAATTTTGGTTATTAAACAATGCATTATTTATTTGATCTTCATCTGCAACTGGCTTTAGCAAACACTGGCTCATTTAATTATTTTGCCAGTAGGCATGTGCTTCTGTCTGAACTGTTTCTTGGTGTTTCTTCTCAACAAGAGAATGAATTCCTGCCAAGTTACCTTCTGTAACTTAATCAGATTTAGTCATTTGGAGTCTTCAGATGGCAGTCAACCAGCCAAGGACTCACTCGATTGCTGAAATGCATTTTCCTGGAGATCACTTCTCCACAGGGTGATAATGGCACTTTGCACCATTTTCTTCAGGGCTGCTTGAAGAAGAAAATAGAATGATCAGCAAAATGCTGTTTTTTTCCTGTTGTCTTGGAGTGATGGTGCTCCTGCCAGCTAGTCCTGTGTAGCCAAATTCCTTGCCTGAACGTGACTGTGGGAGGGCAGATGTGGCTGAGTTTCAAAAGAATAAGTGACAACTGTGACTATGACTTGTATCACTTGACTCTAAATAGAGATGAACAGATTTTTTTACAGGAATAACTCTTGGGGTTCCCAAAAGTCCCTGCAGGTCCTTTATTTTGTAATCTTGTCCTTCTGTGTAGCCAGAATCTTCTGCTTCTTAGGAGAAAGAGCAAAAGACACTTGAATATTGTCAGACTGGAAAAAAAACCTTTTTCCTGTCATGTCCCTCCACACTGGCTGTGTCTGCACAACACGAGAATGCAGCAGTGCTGCATTATTTTTAAAGCTTCCCCAACCCAGTCAGATCAGCATTTTGAGTTTGTGCTGCATGTTTGGGTTTCTAGATGCAGCCATATGGCTGCAGGGAGTTTTGTGGTGGTGGTTATTCGTGAAGCTCTGTAAGAGACAACATCATCTTTCACTCACAACTGTGATATTGATTGCTTAACACAGCCTACATTTAGAATGGGAAGATTTGACTGGAAGTCAGGGCATGCCCTAGTAAATGAACAAGTGATGATTGTCAGCTGGCAGGAGGGAATATGATCTCAGCAATACATGAAAGAAGTCTGCATATTAAGGCAAAAATAAACTCCAGTCTTAAGATAATAGTGTAAGAGATCAGTTTTAATGTACATACATATATATATAAGAAAATTTACATATGTATTTCATATCTTACCTTGCTGTTTCAATGTTTATTGATTTGTAGTTTTTGTTTGGTGATTGCTGATGGGTGGATTCAGTCTTGTTGAAAATGCATTTGACTGATGCAACGTATGTCCACTGCTCATGGACTTCCCAAATTGAGGCAGAGAAGCACCAGAAGCAGTGGTGGATGGCAGACTTACAGTTTCTGCTTGTCAAAAGAAAGCAAAACCTCATTTTCCTGCCTGAATTTACTGAAAAATACTACACATTCTTATTCCAGTTGCAGATTGCTTTTGTCAAAGAAGCCAAACTTTAAGAAAAAAATTGCCTCATCTTCATTTAAAAGTTTGCAGGCAGCTTCTTGCTTACCTGACAGGGAAAAAGAAAAAAAATGAAGTGGTTTAAGAAAAAACACCATGACAATAAAGTTAATTTGCTGAAGCAACTATTTTTTCCCTATATTTTTAGCTTAAATTAACTTTTTTTTTTTTTTACTAATTTAAGCTAAAACTATTTTTTTAGCTTAAATTCACTTTTTTCAGGGTGATCAACTAAATAGCAAGCAGCTGCCATTGCTGCACCATAACTTGTTTGCCACTTCTTAATCAGTGCACAGTGCTGATGTAGCTCTAAATGCCAGAGCATATACAATTATGACAGCACTGTACCATGAGCTGAATTCTGTTCACATACAGATCCATTTCACTTTCGTGGCTATCAAATCAGGGAGTGAAAATAGCAAGTGAGCCTTGTGTCTTGGATATGGTTTTTTAATTAAATATTACATATGATACAATACTTGCATGTAGTTTGGGAATATATACACACGTTGAAATACTATAGTGAATTCTGTATTTCATATTGACTCATGCACAAATGTTTTGCCATTGATACTGTAATTAATTGTTATTTTTATATGGGAACTTTGCTTTTCTCTTTTTGTACACTTAAAGTATGAGGGAATTTAGGTGTTTTGACAAGTTTCTGGTAGTTCAGAAGTATCCTGCAGCATTTTACTTTGTATGATTTGCTCAGGTTTTAAACAGAAGGTCCTACTGTGGTACAGCAAGTTGCATGGTTTATCTGTAAATCAATTCTGATGTCTTTGCCTTGTCTTTAGGGTTTTCCCATTCAGCATTTACCTTTGGTATAGAGAGCCATATCAGCCAGTCTAATATAAATGGTGCTCTGGTGCCACCAGCTGCTTTGATTTCCATCATCCAGAAAGGTCTGCAGTATGTAGAGGCAGAAGTCAGTATTAATGAGGTAAGGAAGCTTTGCCTGCAGGAGCATTGTGTCCTTGCTTGCAGTAAGCTTAAATGTTAGTATTTTTTCTTAACTTTCTTGTATCCTATTTATTTACTTTTACTTCAGATTCCTTACTGCTGGTGTTCACCATGACTCCAGTGGTGGAACCAGAGTGGAGTGACATTACTGGGTGGGGGTTCTGCCCAGTGCAGCCACACAACACCAGGCATGGTGTTCTGGCTCATTGCTTCAAGGTCCGTTGTCTGTAGAGTTTTTACCCTAATGTAATGTTGTAGTGCATCCACACAAGTGGGATAGGATCATAATTGAGAGCAGTAATCTCTTCATTTTTTGGTTTTGTAGACTGGCACTAGGGAGGTGGGAGAGCACTGTGCAGCTCTTGTTTGGGTTCTTGTGTCATCACAGTGAAGTAATGTGAGCCCAAAGGCAAGGTTTCCAAGGAGAGAGAGAGGGTTTGAATTTGTAGCAGGAAGGCTGAAAGTATATGCCAGTTTGCCTTTTGCCTCTGCTGGCTAATTCATCTTGAGCAGAATCTGTTGAATTTGATGTTTAAATGGTTATTCCAGCAGTACAGAAAGCCATGTATCTTCTTGCCTGATGCTGCAGACATTCTCCCTCAATTTCCATTCTCATTTGTGCCTGGAAGGTGAGAAGCCTTTCTGTGTGTCAGTTAGATTACAGAAGGAAACTTTTTTTTTCCCATTAATTCTGCTCACTTTCCAGTCTCCCTTATGTCTGCTGTTTGTGTGGTTTTCACAGTCCTAGTGAAGCAAAACCTTTCTCTTAGGAAGCCTCAGAAAAATGAAGCAAGTGATAGGAATAGAAGAAGACCCTATATTTATTGCAAGGAATCCTTCTAGTCCCTAAAAATAGATCCTTACAAAGCCCTAGCATATGTATAAGGGTATTTTTAACTGGGTCTTGTCCATTTCAGGATAAAATTCTTCCTTGTTGTTTGAAAGCATGCCAGCACTGTTTAAAAAAAGGAAGAAAACTAGTCAACTCCCCAGATAATATGTTTATGGAAAGTATTAGTCTAATAAGACTGTAACTTCACAAGTCAGTGACCCGAGCTGCAATGTTTGCAGCTCTCTCTTCAAACAAACCATTAGATTTTGCTGCAGCCACTCATGTTTGAAATCATATTCATAGATAGCTTACAGAATTTTTTGCTTTAGCAGACAGTTCAGCAAACTAGAAACAAGTAACTTTTGATTCCACAGGCTCTCCCAGAGGCCTGCAGTGGCTTTTATTGCATATTTATGGTGGTCACTTAGCTTTATACTAAAATTCCAGTCCTGACCACAACAATGATAAGATACCACTTCCAGTACCACACAAAACTGCTTTATTATATTAAAACGTTTTCTTTAGTTTTGCCTGGAATCTTTGCCTGTAATGTTAATTTGTACTTGGTGTTATTTTTTTTTTCTTTTCTCCCTGTGCTGTAATTTAGGATGGTACCTTGTTTGATGGTAGGCCGATAGAGTCTCTCTCACTGATAGATGCAGTGATGCCTGATGTGGTACAGACAAGACAACAGGCCTACAGAGACAAACTTGCACAACAGCAGGCAGCAGCTGCTGCAGCTGCAGCTGCCACCAACCAACAGGGATCAGCGAAAAATGGAGAAAATACTGCAAATGGAGAGGAGAATGGAGCACACACTATAGCAAGTAAGTTGAGACAGAAACGGCTTTAAGCTGGGTTAGCATTTCCTAGTTGTTTATCATAACATGAGTTTGTAGACAATAAGGTAAAAATGCAGAGTTTGGAGTAACCCTTCAACTTGCAGAGAATTCCTTCATCGTGGGTCATACTGGGACAGATCACGTCTCACCTTTGGCTGTCCCCAGTTTTGATATCTGGGGTTGCAGGAGTCAAAGTTCTGAATTCATTAATTCACAATATTCCCTTGACTGGTCTCACTTCCAGTACTGCTTCTTTTCCATCACCTGAAGGTTTTTTAAAGGGCCCTTGCATAAAAAGGACAAAAAATTGCGATATTCCTGTACAAGGAGTGAGAAGTCTGCCAGTCCGTGGCTGATTAAAACTGAGTATTGCTTGTGAAGCTCTGCAAACTCCTTCCAACAAGTTCTGTAAATCCCATGGATCCAAGAGCTGTACCTGGCTCTTCGAGTGATGTTGAGGTCAGGGTTGCTGGGACAAGCCCTGTGTCCCTTTCTCTTTTATCAATATCAGTTTTTACAATTTGCTGTTTCAACTTGCTCAATGCAACTGCTTTCAGGTTTGTTTTATTCATTAATTCCATTTGAGTTGTGATCAGTGAAATAAAGGAGTCCTGTTTGTCATCACTGGTCAAAGGGACATACCTTACAATGAGGCTTAGTGTGGAAAAGTTTGGGTCAGGCATTAAACCGTGATTTTCAAAATACTCTTCTGGAAGTCTGATTTGCATGTTGAAGTGTGGGAGTTACAGTTCTTTCTGTAAAAACACCTGAAGAAATGACATTTTGGAGACAATATTAATACTAAGCCATGTACAAGTTTTACTGCCTGATTTTACTAGGCTTTTTCATTAATATATATGATAAAAAGCTAGAAATACATTCTTTGGCTGAAACACATGAGGTCTCTACTTTGATGCTTTCATTTAACAATCTCAAAAGAATATTTACTTGATTACTGTGAACTGAATAGAGGAAGGGTAGACCTTGGATCTCAGCCCTGTTAAATGTGATCTACCAGCAACCCCTGCTGGCTGTACAGCACTTCAGACTGGCATCGATCTGACTGAAGCAATGCTTTATATGATGCTTTTTCTGAAAAAATACTCATGTTGTAATAGCCTTTTTTGTTTTCTCACATACACAAACAGTGACAGAAACTCTTAATGCTAAATTAAGCAATAGCTGTGAAATTATTTCTTTAACTGCAGTGAATAAATATGGAACAGGTGAAGTGTGCAGCATTTCTTATATTCTGCATTTGCACTCACTGTGAATTTATTTTTAATAGAAAGTGATTGATGGTAGATGCCACGAAAACTGTTTTTTCAGTTGAATTACCCCCAGTATATTCTACAGAACAATATGGTTTCAACCTCACTTCCATGCAGAAAGTTACACTGTCATAATTCCACAGTAATTGCTGATGAAGTTTGAGAAGCTTGGTTATGTTTGCTCTATCACCAAATGTGATTATATTCATTAAAGTCATTTTGTAAATGGAGTGTTGGAGATGTAGATTTAAAACCTGTTTGACTGCAATTGGTGAAAAGAGATTTTTGAAAATGAATGTGTTGTAAATGTATTCTTGCAGCACAAGCTAGACTAGTAACATATTGTACTATGCAGTATTGGGCCTGAAAAACAGAGTACTTGTAACAGCGTTTATTTTTTAACATAGCAAAAAATCAACTTTGGCCCTAATTCTGAAGCTCCAAAATTAAATCCACTTGGATGTGAAGGTTTACAGGGGCGAAGAGCTTTCTCACATTTTCGAAACTCCCCATCTGTTTATAGTGCTTCATTAATTGGAACTGAAAAAATAAAAGAGCATGACAGCTCTGTCAAATTTTTGAATCACATAAATTGTGAATTCTTGCACTCATCGCAGAAGAATCTGAACCATACAGGAGTCCCAACGTCCCAAAATGCTAAAATCCACCTCTGTGCTTCTGTTTCCCATAATGCAGATAATCACACGGATATGATGGAAGTAGATGGAGATGTGGAAATCCCTCCCAACAAGGCCGTGGTGCTGCGTGGCCACGAATCTGAAGTGTTCATCTGTGCCTGGAACCCCGTCAGTGACCTTCTGGCCTCAGGGTACGTGCCCTGCCCACCTGTGTGAGTGTGGAGTGTCCCTGCTGGGGCAGGGCAGCAGGGAACACCTGCCCCAAACATCCAGAGCCACTGTGTTTGTTCTTTGGATAATAGTGCTTTAAAATTGATGATGATGATTAATATTATTACTTTTATTTTTATTATTATTGAATTCATTAATATATCACTAATGTAATATAACATAATGTAAACATAATAACAATATGTAAATATATGGGTATAATTATGCATAGTTATTACTATATACAATAAGTATATATTATATATATCATATCCTGTATCTTGTGTAGCACATATTATATATTGCTATATTATTGCTATATTAGATATTGCTATATTATATATCCTGTATTACATACTATGTATGTAACATGTATGTAATACATATAAAAAACTATATGTAGTGTTTTATATACCTATATATAAGTATAATATATATTATCTATTATTTTACATACCATCTTTTAGAGCACCATTATTAGTATGTTGTATATTATTAGTGTATGGTATATTGCATATTATATAATACTGCAGGCTGTCATTATAATGATACATGTTAATGTATTCATGAAATAAATTGAATTACCCATGTGTAAACAGCAGGATTTCTATCCTTGCTATATAAAAATATGTATTATATTATCTATTATTTTTCATGCCATCTATTATAATGTCGTATATCATTAGTATGTCGTATATTATTATTAGTGTATGGTATATTTCATGTTATATAATATTACAGGCTGTCATTATAATGATACATGTTAATATATGCATGAAATAAATGGGATTACCCAGGTGTAAACAGTAGGATTTCTATCCCCACTATATATATAATATATATTATATTATCTATTATTTTTCATACCATAATGTCGTATATTATTAGTGTATGGTATACACTAATATCATTATAATGATACATGTTAATATATGCATGAAATAAATGGGATTACCCAGGTGTAAACAGCAGGATTTCCATCCCCCCTGGGTTGTTGTGCAGGTCTGGTGATTCGACAGCACGGATATGGAACCTGAGTGAGAACAGCACGAGCGGCTCCACGCAGCTGGTGCTGCGGCACTGCATCCGGGAAGGGGGGCAGGACGTGCCCAGCAACAAGGACGTGACATCGCTGGACTGGAATGTAAGTGCCCTGCTGCCAGGAGAGCCCTGCTTCCACCTCCTCGTGGTCAAACTTTCAGGGACAGCAGCAGTGCCCTCTGCGGCAGCACCTGAAATATTTCTATTTTTGAGCAGCGTTGTAACTTCTCTCATACTTCGGGAATTTCTTTCTAATAAGTTGCAGTCAATGAAATAAATATCATAAATCCTATACAGATCTATTCTACCTCAAATTTTCTTTGTGCTCTTTAGCTTTGAGTTAAGCAGTAAAAAAAAATAAATAACCTTTTTGCTGGCAGAGTGAAGGTACACTTCTAGCAACTGGGTCTTATGATGGCTTTGCAAGGATATGGACTAAAGATGGTAAGCAAAACGCTTTTTAATTTACAATATATTTTCCTATATTGTGGCTCACGGCATAGTTTTTTATTTTTTAATGTATTCATATCAATATAAATTTTCAGGTAATCTTGCCAGCACCTTAGGGCAACATAAAGGTCCTATATTTGCGTTAAAATGGAACAAGAAAGGAAACTTCATTTTAAGTGCAGGAGTGGACAAGGTGAGATAATCTTTGGTAAAATTAAAATTCTTTCCTTCACCGTTATAATCTAACTGTAAGCAAAATAGCAAAACTATGCAAAGTAAGTAAATGAAACTAAAGGCATGGGATATCAATATGTGCTTACAAAGATTTTGTTTGCTTAGCTATGTTTCCTTGGGTTTTATAGTAGTTCACTGAGATTTTACTTTCATAGATTTCGGTGTCTGTGAATCTCTTCCCATTTAGGTTAGTCTGAGTTGGAAAGTAAGTGTATTGAAACCAGAAACATTAAACTTTGTAAAATCAAACCATCTAAATTCAGTGAAGCACTTCATGCAAAGCCTCAGGAAAAAAAATTGTACTAGAGGGATAGGTTCAGGCTGGGTTGGATATCAGTCAGACCTGAGAATGTTTACAAAGATTAGAGCTGGAACATAAGGAAGGTTGATATATGTGACTGGGGAGGTGCCAGTTGTGTAATGCCATGGAGTTCATTGTTTGACTCTTTTATTTCACATCTCTAAACAAATTCAGGTTTACAAGGTCTTTCAGTTCAGAGCTGCTGTTAGTGTGAGAGGTTTTATGTATGAATGGTAGGAAGGGCACAGAGTGATGGGAAATGTACTTAAAGTGAATTCAGAGAATCAAATAACTATTGCAAGAGTAAGGAGAGTTATTTTTTTCCTCTGTAACTGATTCAAGGTGCAGAAGTCAGCACAGGTTTTCTCTTAGTGACAGTGGCAAACTGCAACCTCAGTACAACCACTTTAAACTGGCAGTGTCACAGTAAAGTAGTAAATTTTCTCCTTTATTTGCTTTTTTTTTCCCTGCATCCATTTACTTAGTCTGCTTTATTAGCCAGCTTTATGAATGCTTGTGCTGGCACAAAGGAAGGAAAATTTAATGTCTCAAAGCATGGAAAGGATGTGTTTACTCTTTTGGCATCTGTGATGCTTATGCCAGTTTTTAAATAATTTTGGAGGTATAGCTTTCATTTGCAGGAAAACAATTAAGGAAGGAATAGAAACCTCATTTCAGTCAATAAAACTTCTCAAACTGAGATTATGCTTTGAAGAATATTCTGCTTTAGCCTTTAGCAGAGAGAATGACCCAACCTTAGGCTCCTTTTCCATAATTAATTTGTCTGGTCAGTTCATGCTTCTATTGAATTTAGTGTCAAAATTTTCATTGATCATTGAGGTGGGGCAGGGATATTGGCATATAATATACTGATGATAAGATATTAATTCTGTCACGTAAGATTTCTTTAACCAGAAGGTTATGAAAGTATTGGCAGAGAACAATGTAGAAATTACACCCTTAAATTTATGTGACTAATTGTTAATAACATCTCCTTAGGAACAAGTGAGTAGCTGATACTACAATTTGAATATACAAGTATTTGAAATTAAAATAGGTGTGTGGAATGTATTACAAGACTATAAATAGGACTAAGGGGATAAAACTATTTAAAAGCACACGTATTCCTTCTTCCCTCTAGACCCCAAAATGTTGTGGTTAAACACCTTTCTAATGCAGTCTTAAATTTTCTATTGTTTTCTGTACATCTACTGCTATTTCTTTTAGTACTGGATCAAACTCTAGAAATGTATAATCAAGAGCAGGTTTGGGTGATGGTGAGCAGGGTAGGTATTCTCGTATTTGTGAGTGTGATAGTTGTGGGGAAATTAGCAATTTGTACAAGTTTGTTTATTGTGTATTTATCTGTTTAACACAGACCACAATTATTTGGGATGCCCACACTGGCGAAGCCAAGCAGCAGTTTCCTTTTCATTCTGGTAAGTCTTGGTTTCATCATTCAGATTTGTCATCTGAAAAGACAAATGCAAACTGAATCTGAAAAGATATTTTGTGAATATTAACAATAATTTGTTCTGATTTTGTAGCTCACAGTTTTATTGCAGTTCCACAAAAGTCATAAGACATAAATAATCCAAGTATTCCTAACTTTCTGTAGTATGGTGGCAGACAAATCATGTGGGTGGGCCACAAGGGATTAGTGTTTATCACCTAAGCACTGCATTTGTCATCCTGCTGCTGCAGTGATCCCATCCCGTATCCCAGTGTTCCAGCTGGGGGTGGGAGTGCAGGAGGTCAGACAAACTGCTTTTGTGGGCTGCATGCTGAGCAATCCTGCCAGGATCAGCTGGAAAACAGAATGGAGAGAATGACAGACGTGTCACCTTTTAGAAACGTGTCCCGTTCCCACTCTTTATTCTGCTCACACCACGTTTCCAGTGGCATGACAGCAGTCAAAAGCATCAACTCAGCATTTACTCCAAGCAGTTCTCTCTGTGCTGTCTGCCATAAATGGCTGGCTTGATCAAATGGAATATGTTGCCCATTATTAAGCTTCAAGTTACCACACCTTACAATGCTGGAGTTAAGAAAGGAAATAAATCCTTCCCTTTCCCTGGCTGCCATCCCTGAGAAGGAGCAGGAGCTGCTGGTGGAGATGAGCTCATGCGTGATGATGTGTGAAATTGTGGGAACCTGCTCCTTGTGCTGACTCTTGAGATTTGTTTATAGATGACTTAACTACAGCTTGATGTCCTGCTGCACTGTCTTCTGTATAACTTTGATTTCAAATATGTTCCATATTATGATGACTTATATTAAATTTTTTCCATTTTGTGTAAGACTTGTTTTAGCTGAATTTCTTACTGCTCATAGTGTTTATCTTCAGAACTGCTGTAAAATTAATGATGGCTTCCTGTTGGCTTTTATTCCAAGGTGGTGCTAAATTTGCACATCAAATTCTTGCAGAGTGCATTAAATATCTTTCTTTTTCTTTCAGCACCAGCATTAGACGTTGATTGGCAAAGTAACAACACATTTGCCTCTTGCAGTACAGACATGTGTATTCACGTTTGTAAACTAGGACAAGATAGGCCCATCAAAACCTTCCAGGGTCACACAGTAAGTACTGCAAAAAGGGGGTTGCTCTGTGATATTTTTATCAGTGAGACATTGGGGGCTCAATAAACTTACCAGTACCCAGCAGTTGTGTGATGGCTGGTCCATGGCTACAGATAGTAGATGCACACATAGGTAGTTATGGTTAAGGTCTTATGGTAATCACAATCTCTGTGATTATCAGAACAATTCTCACCCTCATGTGCAGCTTGTTTTACCAATGCCAGGATGGAAGAGTGAGCTTTAGAAGAAGCAGCATGGTAACTTCAAGACTTTACCACATGGTGTACAGGAATGCTTGGGAAATGTGATAAATGGATAGCAAAAAGCTGTTGCTATTGAAGGCAAAGCTATGAATAAAAATGAAGTGTTAAAATCCTGACAATTATGCAAATGCTCATAACTGCTGTCCAGCTTTATCTTTTGTAAGCTGTCATTTGTAATGGAAGGGACAACTCCAAGTTACTCTCATTGTTCACTTTTAGAATGAAGTAAATGCAATCAAATGGGATCCAACTGGTAATCTGCTGGCATCCTGCTCTGATGACATGACTCTAAAGGTAATGGGAGTTCTGGGGCTGGCCCTTGTCTTTGTAGGACTCTGGAATGCACTCCATTAGCCTGGACATTCTGGCAGTATCACTGTACTTGCCGTGTCGTCCAATATTTGTTCTTTTTTAATATAACAAGGTTAAGCAATCCTAGAAATCCTTGTTAATCAGGGCCAAGCTTTGGTCCAGAGAACTTGTTACAGGCTGCCAGCCTGAGACTTGGAGCATGATTTATTAGGTGCTTTTAGCTGTTTACAGAATCAGGTCATTAATCATTAAGCTGTCACGCTTGATGGTTGCTTTTGGTTAAAAGGGAAAGTTGGAATGCATGTCAGGTAGCACATACAAGAATGGGTGACTTGCTCCTTTCCTGGTTGTCTTCTCTTTCCCCTTCTTTCTAGTTAAAATCTTTGGCATGTTGTTTCTTCAGAGGCCGTGTGCACTCCTGGATTTTTCTAGTTTACCAGGAGCCATTCTGCAGTTTTCAATCACACCTACGCTTGTCCTTGAAATGATTCACAGCTACGTGCTTTCTTGTAGAACAGGGGCAAACTTGTGAGTGCAGAGGACACTGCAGCTTACACATGTGATTTGAGGGCACTCTGGAGATCCTTACAAACCTGCCACCAGCAGAAATGAGGCTGTTCATGCCTGACAGGCCTGTGCTGCTTCCATGGCACAGATGCTTTCCATTACAGTACTGCTTTGCATTCACTGGGACCTTCAGCACTGTGCTTGGTAGAGTTTCAGGATACATTTTTTACATTGACAGCACTGTCCTGCTAGTAGCCCTTGGGACAGTTAATTCTATCCAGCTCACTGTTATTTAATCAGGGAATGCCTGAGTAAGTAGTCACATATCCCTCCTGCTGGCACTTAGGCTCTGGCAAGGGAAATCACCTTATCTAAATACAAACACTTAAGCATTAAGCCTCCAGTCTAAAACTGGATGTCTAGACATCTCCAGTCAGCAGTGTCTAGCACTGCTGAAGAGCAAGTTATCCTTTCCTAAGTTAAGTGTCTTAAGTCAAGTGTGATGAGTAAACCCCTGAGAGCATCAGTTGTTCTCCATTAGCAGTGGATGGAGTCAAAATAGCCAGCTTAAGCAGGTATTTAATACTTAAACAGCTGAAACTCCAGGGTAATGAATTCCAGTCTGGAGCTCGAGCTGCTCTTGCTGCTGCCTCTCTGTGAGTAGAGGTGACAACTGGGAATGTGTCAGCATTTGTGGGATTCAGGCAATTAACTACTTGGTGGCTGATTTGAATGGAGCCCAGGCTGCAAAGAATGTTATTTTGTTCAGGGTTAGCTCAAATGCCAGGTGCTGGAGGATAAGTCTACACATCACTAATCACTTGTGGCTCACTTACTTTTTAATGGCAGAAGGAATAAATTCCAGGTTTGGAAGCACATGGAAGGTACCTAGTGATTAATTTCCTTGGTTAGTTTCTATCTAAAACTTGATGTTCTCTAGGGTAGTGATACAGACTCTTTCATCTATGCTAATTTTGGGAAGAGAAGCTAGATTTTGATCCCATCAATTAAACTGGAAATACAATTTCAATTCTGTCTGCACATTGAAAATCGATTTCCTCTTCAGCAAAATAGCAGTTCTAAAAAGCACCATTTATTTACACATGCACCTCAATTGCATCTTAAATACAGTTGGGCTTAAACATGTTCCTGGTAGCTCTTTCTAACAAAAAGTGAACTAAAAGCATTACTGAGACAGATATTATTACAAATAGAGTTCAGGTGATTATCTGCCATATCAAATTTCAGATGTAGGAAAAGGTATAAAAGCCTCCTCAGATCCCTTCGGTAGAAGCAATGTAAACTCCTAATAGGATAAAGTTATTTTATTTGTTGAGCATGGTCATACAGGAGTTGGAGTCCTCTAATGACCTCTGTGAAGTGCTGAACACTGAAGTCTGGCAATGCAAATACTAATAAGTCAGGAAAATGCCATAGTGATATTTGTGTCTCTGGATTTGTATGAAAACAGAAAATTTCTCTACTATCCCTTTATTTCACTCAGTCTGTGTGGCAAGAAGTTCATTTAAAAATAGGACCGTGATATTTTATCCACTCAGCCATGAACATTTACATATTGCTCTTCTCATTTCAGCATCTGCTCTCATTCCTGCACTTTTCAAGGGGTTTGCAGTCCACTCAGGCAGTTTGGTTTCTACAGGCAGCACCTTTATTACTCATTAACTTAATTGGGAACTTAAAACACAAAGAATGAAAGGTTCTGGAATAAAACTTGACATAATTACTCTAGAAACCTAGCAGTCATAGCAAATGTTTTGAGTGGCCTAAAAGGTAACAGTCAGCCTGTAAATGATACAGAAGAAACATGTAAAACGTATTTTAGTACTATATTGTACTAAATAATTTGTATTTTTCCTCCCTTTTTATCATAGATCTGGAGTATGAAACAAGACAGTTGTGTCCATGATCTACAAGCACACAACAAAGAAATTTATACTATCAAATGGAGTCCTACAGGACCAGGAACAAATAATCCAAATGCCAATCTTATGTTAGCAAGGTAATATTTAATCCTGGTTTAAAAAGCTTGTTAAACAGTATTTTTACCTCACTTTCTATAAATGTAAGTTCACAGAATGTTTTGAAGCACATAAGATACTTTATCATATTCTGTTTGTATTAGCAACAAAAATATGTTGAATTGAGGTGTAATTAATCTGTTTTTTTCCTTGACAGTGCATCCTTTGATTCTACTGTTAGGTTATGGGATGTAGACAGAGGAATTTGTATCCATACTCTGACAAAACATCAAGAACCTGTGTACAGTGTAGCTTTCAGTCCTGATGGCAGGTACCTGGCCAGTGGCTCCTTTGATAAATGTGTACACATCTGGAATACACAGGTATTGCTCTTCTCCGTGTTGAGAAGTTGTTTTGGTCTTTTCCATCCTTCAAGCCTTTGTTTATCCATCATACTTCAGCCACAAAGAGCTTTGTCCTCCCCAGCAGACTAGTTTTCTTTTTGCTCTTTGTCCTGTTATTTCTTTTAATGGTTGTACATTTAATTTCTCACTTTGAATGCTTGTCTATGATGAAATAATAATTGTCTTTACATTGTCTTAGAAAAAAAGAAAATCCAAAACCAACCAAACAAAAAAGACCCAACTAAAAACTCACCAACAAAACCCCACATTGAACAAAGTTTCTCCAAGAAGATATTTCATCCAAAAATAGTCTTTGTTAACTCTGAACTTTAAATTCCTGATAAAACAGAGACTTTTGTGAAAAATGTTGACTAGGTGTAGATATACTAATCTGATTGGCTGTTTCATTGAATTTCACTGACAAGATAATGCAGAGTGAGGGAAGATAATGATGACAAAGTATTTCTATGAACTTTTCTCCAAAAGGACACTATTACTTGTTTTGTATTTCTGGCAAAAAATAAGGTCTTGTTATGTTTGAAAGTCTAAACAGCTTATTGTCAGGCATGATGCAATCTCTGGCTACTAGGCATTGGGTATTGGTTTCTGAAAGGCTCATTTTAGTAATTGGAAGTAGTTGTGACCATCCCCAGTTTTTCCTGTCAAACATAGGAGCTCAAATGCAATGGTTGTGCCACATTCTTTAACAAAGTGCAGAGACTGTCCACAAATCTATTCTGGACCACTTTCCTCTGAGAATTTTAGCTTTGGAAGGCAGTGGGGGGATTTTACATGTACAAATTGTGCTTGTTCACTTTGATTTTGTTGTATTAATTACTTGCCTTGTCCCTTTTTTAGACAGGTGCCCTAGTTCACAGTTATCGGGGAACAGGAGGGATTTTTGAGGTTTGCTGGAATGCAGCAGGAGACAAAGTTGGAGCAAGTGCTTCAGATGGTTCAGTAAGTGTTGCTTGACTTGGCTGGTGTTCTAGTAACAAACACCTTCTGGAAATCTTTTAACTAACAATGGAGACGAAATTTCCTTCTCTAGCTGAAGGTTGAATACAGCCAGTCACCTGTAGGTTTTCAACTGTACCCGGGCTGTGGTATTGTAGGAGAATATCTTTATTCCAGTCCAAAAACCTCAGAAGGTGGAGATATCTCCAATTTATATTTTCTGTTCCTTCTGGGGCCCACTGTGCCAGTGTGTTCAGTGTGGCTGGTTTGGAAACAAATTTGTTTTCCTTTCTCTGCCCTTTTTGAGTGAAAATTCTCAGTGTAGGTGATATTATTATAATGCATGACAGGAATGAAATGCCTTCTGCATTGCATTCAGCAGCAAAACAAAGTGCAGATTTCTAAACGCTTTTAATTAAAAAGTTCCTAAAAATGTCAGCAGCTATATATAAATATCAGCCTGCTTACTTTGCTTAGGAAAAGCAGGGAATAAAATAATGTTGAACTAATCATGAGTGTTCCCACTGTCATTTCACAGCAGAGTGTTGGAGCATCACCTCCTGGCTGCTCTGGCACTGTCCTGCAGTGGGATGGGAATGTGCAGGGTCTCCATAGGGAGCACAGTCCTGGGGTTTTTGCTTGCCTCTCTCTTGCCGTGGTTTGCAGAGAAAGGAGAGGAGAGCCTAAGGAAAAGCAAAATTAAAATAAGGCTGATAAAGGAATTGTGTTTTGAAGTGCTGTAGCTTCCTTTAACAAAAGTCAGCAAAAAGCAATCCTGGCAGCTTAGTAGTGCAGAGTCTTAACACAGGTGCCAAAGCATTTCCCTCCTGAATGCTCCTTGCTGGTAAGTAAGGTTGTTTTGTTAGAGTTCAAATCACAAAATAGGAAGTTCTGGATTTTAAGAACCCTAAATTCTAGAGAATTAATTTTGATTGGTCTTTATATCATTTTAGTCTTGTAAATATAGGCAATATCATAAAAGTACAAAAACTCAAGGCATATCCTGAGCAGAAATTGATTATCACGCCCCCCCAGATGACTCTTTTTTTATATATGCTGTGTAACCTTTCCAGTCCTCCAATTAATTTGGCATAAGAGGCTAATTGTACTTGGAATAGATTTGTTTTCATTTAGTTTCTAATATTTTAAAAAATGTTTGGCTTAATTTGTTCTATATTGTTTGCTGGCAAAAGCCCTTCTCCTCCACTCTGTTTTAAATGTGCTTGCAGCTGGTGTTATCTTGTGTGTGGTTATATTTTAATATATTTCTATTTTTAGAAATATTATTATTTTTAATAGATTATTTTTAATAGATTTCTATATCTAACAGACCCAGAAGCACTACTTAGTGGAGATTTTGGGAAGACTAAAACTGGAATTTGTACACCGTTAACTGTTTTTCTGATCTATTTTAGTACCTGTCCATGTACTTTAATTTCATTTTATATTTTTACAAACTGGATTTGAGTAAGTTCTCAGCCTCACAGTATTAAATAACAGGCAAACATCTTACATAAGATGTTGTTACTGTTCTGATAGTAATTCTGGAGGCAGCAGCTCCCTTAGCTGGCTGGGGGTTCAAAAAGGGCTCACCTGGTCATTTTGATATTATTAATTAATCATTGTTTTGGATATAAGGTTAAGCTTACCCAATCCATGTGGCAGGTTTTGCTCTGATAGTTTCACAGCACTGTGAAGCCCGTGGTGCTGTGCAGCTGCTGCATGTGTGTCTCTCTCTTTGCAGGTTTGTGTATTAGACCTCCGGAAATAGCGCTCTTAGTTGGAAGCCATGGACCGACTATGAATGTGTACATAGCCAAAATGACTGTCCCTGACCCATGTACTGCTATAGTCCCAATCGAACCATGGCCAGTCCACTACAGCCAAATGTAAAAGAAATATATACATATACTGTATATAAAAAAAAAAGGAGAAAAAAAAAAAAAAAAGAGGAGAAAAAAAAAAAATTACACCCTGAAGAGGATGACAGAGTTTTGTCACAGCTTGTGAATCCTGTTCACCAAGTGCTGGAATCTGCTGTGCCCCAAAATAACATTTAAAGGTTTTGGATATGAAAAACAGAAGAGAGCGAGAGAGAGAGAGAGAGAAATATACCATATACAAGAGCAGACCCATATACATACCAAAATCAGAAGATACTAATGGCAGCCTTCATTACCCCTTCCCCCATGAAATCCATTCTCTCGTGGATTGTGGGGTATTTTTGTGTTCCTTCTCAGTAGTTGAGCAGTTTGTGTGTACAGAGAAAATGGACTTACAGAAATCTGCAGCAGTAGTTTTTTTTTTTCTTTGCTTTTAAACATTGGGTTTTCTGTTTTGTTTTGGTTAAGTTTACGGATGCATGAAGTAAGGGAGTGATTTAGTTTCTTGTTTATATTTTTTCACCTTGGAAAACAAAAAAAAAAGGCGTTTCTTTGAAACATGTTTTGATGCATTCTTTGAAGAAGTAGTTTGAACCTGATAATAATTGGTACATTTTGTGGCTCCCAGAGCACAATTTTGTGAACAGAGGGAGGGTGGAAAAGGGATCAGGGAGAGAGAAGAAAAACAAAAAAAATCCTTCTTTGTGGCGTGATATTTTACATCCTTCTCATCTACAAAGTAGGATGGAAATGGGTATAATGCTATGTTTGATTTTCTGGTGACATGGCTGAAACGCAGTAATTTCTTATTTGGGACATAATTCTGCCAAACTTAAGAACAGAAGGGCACAAAAACAGAGGAAAAAAAACAGGGATGCAAAAAAAAAAAAAAAAAGATAAAAATATAAAGAGGAAAACGCATCTTCTGTTGCTTTAAGACCATAGCTAAAATATGGTTAAATTGTGCACTATTGTGAAAAGGAGCAAAGTATAGCTGGGGGATTTTGTTTAAGAGGTTAAGATCTTTCTGGACAAGGGTTCATGCCACAGCTTCTTTGAGAGTTGCCCATCATTATTTGTAGGAGCTTAGATGTATAATTGTAACCAAACTCCAGTATTAAAAGTATTTCATGTAATTTTTCTTTATTAAAATAAAATCTTTGGCATATATTTGATAACACTGCCATTAAGAGGCAAAATGTTTACTACCTTAGATTTAAAAAAAAATCTTAAACAGAAGACTTGCTTCAAGTTTATTTTAATAGCAGTGATTCAGTTTATTTAAAAGATGAATACTTGCACTAATTCCCCTGCTGCTCCGGTCCTGCAGTTTATTGTATCTTGTGACTACATTTTTTTCCAAATATAGGGTAGATGTAAGCTGCTATTTTTTTAATAATCACTACTATATAGTGTCTTTTACTCTGTTTACAATATCAAGTATTTTTCTTACAATGACAGATGTATATGGCAAACCTTTTTCTGCTCATGTGATTAAAAGTATACTAATAGTGATTTTATTTGTAAATGATAGCATGAGGTTGTGTTTATGCGTATGTGTAGTCAAAAAGGTTGCATCATGTCTTGCATAAGATTCCAAGAGTGTAAATTTATAAAAAGAGAGGTTGTCAAATTTATGTCACAGACATTTTACTTAAGGAATGGTTTATATTACAGAGCTTTGCAAAGTTATCAGTTTTATAACACTATTTCAATCACAATTAATTTTGTGACTTATGATTGTTAGTCTCTAACCTATTTTTTTATTCATTTGGGGTTTTTTTTTCCCCCTCCAAGTTAAGTATAAATTCATTTAATTGAGATAATGCAGCTTTGACATTTTAACCATTGTTTTTTAGGCATCGATTTCTGCTATTTCCATGAAATAAACATGACTTGAAGCAAGTCTGAGTTTGGCTAAGGTAGGGTAGCAATTTGCCAGTGGTAAAGACAAGTCAACAATACATGCTTTATCTACACCCCAGGATTATACTGCTATCATACACAGCATTTAAAACCAACACCAAGTCATATCCATAAAGACAGTTATCCGTGGTGGTTCTGTGCCAGCTATTTTTAGGGTTTTGGAACATATTGCAAATGTTTAGAGCAATTACCCAGTGAGTTACAATATGTAGGAAACCTAATATATTGAGTGTCTGGCACTTGAAATATTGCTTTTATTGCTGGAGGTCCATGACTGTGGCTGACCTCTGTCATTTAATGAAAAAAAAAATAAAAATAAAAAAAAATCTGTGCAATAATTTTAAACTGTGCTCCCAGGAATAGACACAAATGTTTTGAGTATGTTTAAGCTGCATTTTTCGTTTAGCAATGCATTTGTCAATTGCACTGAATTTAAATCTGAAAGTCAGAAGTGATTCTTGATAGTACTTTTGTATTTTAATATGGACAGTTTATTCATTTTCATAAAAGTTATTGGATGATTCTTTCAGCCAATCTAAACAATTGTGGTGGAATTCTGTGACATATAGCTGCAAAATCACACAGCCATTTTTTAGGGTTTTGCCATTTTCCTCTTTCTCAATCATCAGCTGTTTTGGTTGTAATTCTAGTCGCTTCAGCATAGCATCACACACTCAGAGAAACACCAGAGAGCCAGGGCTGTCAGGTGTGGGTCCAGCAGGAATTCTGGCTCCCTTGGCTTGGGTACTCCAGACACAGCCCCTGTCCCCAGCAGTGAGTGTCCACTGCCATGGGCCAGTGCCCACTGTCCCCAGCAGTGAGTGCCCACTGTCCCCAGCAGTGAGTGTCCACTGTCCCAGCAGTGCCCAGTGTCCCTGGGCCAGTGTCCCTGGGCCAGTGTCCCCAGCCGAGGTCCGGCCACAGCTGTCCAGTTGTCCAGCCTCGCATGCCACAGTGCTGCTCCTGCTCCCACGTGCCAGGTTCTGCCAACCAAAAACCAGGCAAAAACACCACAGGACCATGACATTAATTACTGACTGTTACAGCACAAAGGCCTCGTGTCCCAGCAGGTCCAAATTGCTCCTTTCAGAGGGGAAGCCAAATGGCAGCAGGGCCCTGACTTTGTGTGGGGTCTACATGCTTGGTTCTTACAGATGGAGTCATTGCTGTTTTTATCAGTTCAGCACGGTAACAGGCAAATACCCAAACAGAGGATAAAAGGAAGGGGAAAAGCTGGGCTCAGAATGAATGGTGGGATAGGAAATTAACTGCTCTTGAGTTCGCTGTCTTTCTGTGCGTCCATCTCAGAATCCCGTTTCTCATTTTTGCATGACCAGATCCAGGTTTCTGTAGAGTTCGTCTTTTTCTATTTTTACTTTACCTTTTTCTGCATTTTTAAATTGATGTAAAGATTCCCAACCAGTGGACTTTTTAGTGTAGTTAAGAGAATATCTAGGTCTTCATAAAAGCTTTTTTAGACTCTTTGTAATGTTGATAAACTGAGTTTATTCTGGGACTACCATTGTGCAGGGTTATTTAGCATGTCTACTAGATGATTGGAAATCTTATATGAAACACTAAAAGTGCCTCTTTTTCTGGGTTGGGTGGAGGGGAGGTAGTAGTTACCAGAGTCAGAACGACATGGCATTTCGAAGCATGTTTCTTGATTTCGTGACACTTTAATGCATCTTGAGAGAAAGGCCAAAGATTTCTACCAATTTTGATTGATTTTTGAGTTTTAAAAAGCACTCCTTTTTCCTTACACTGCTTACCTCATGCTAGGGCGTCTGACAGGGTGTTGTACCTTGGGAATGTCCTTTGTGTTTAGGGACAGCAGTGGGTGGCACGGGGCGGCCGTGCTGGTTTGTTTAATTCTAATGTTTAATTCTGCTGTGGAGAGGACACCCATTACCACTGCAAACTGGGGGCTTCAGCCTGTCAATTGTCTGGTTTTGTCTGTTTAGTGAAGAGGGGAGCCTCGGGACCTGGTTTTTCCAAGCTTTATATCACCAGAAATCCCACTGTCATCACTCCACCCTTGCCAGGGCGAACGCTGGAGGTGCTGGGGCTGTGCTGAACCCCAGGGTGGATAAAATGAACCTCATCCCCAAGAATCTCCAGAGTGGATAAAATGAGCCTCATCCCCACAAACCCCCAGGGTGGATAAAATGAGCCTTGTCCCCTCCTGTGGCCAGGGGGTTTTGCCAGAGCAGGATCTGCCGGATTTAGCCCAGTTCCTTTTTGGCTCCCTTCCCAAAGCCCTGTAGAGCCATTCCCGGGTGGGATCACTTCCACCCTCTCCAGACGCCTGAAGAAAGCAGAAGCAACATTGTGGCATGTTAGAAGCAAATACAGCTTCAGGAGACAGCAGTAAATAAATCTCCATCAAGATCCCTGACATTTTCTGTAGGGAGAGAGACATGGAGCAGTCCTCACTTCTCCCTCTAGAGAAAGCTCTGAAATACCACGAGCTGTGAAAGTGTGACTGTCTTCACTGTCAGTCTGGTGGGAGGCAGACGAACCAGGAAAATCTGCCCTTTCGAGTGGATTGCAGATTTAGTGTTAATAGTGCTTCAGATCAGTAGTTTTGAGTACATAATTCGCTTTCTCTGCCTTTAAGTTTGAAGCTTGACAATAACTTGAGGCATGTTTTTGTTTTGTTTTGTTTTTTTTATTTTTGAATAATCATTCATTTTTACTTCATAATGTTTTTTGACATTTGTGGGTAAATACAAGAAAACAGTCTGCATGTTGTTGCTAGTCCAGTGTACTTTGCAATCTTGTCCTCAACAGACTGCAGTGTGCAGAACAGTAATTCTAGAATACAGAAGTAATTTTCTCTCTCTCCTGACATTGACATTGTAGTTGTAATGGTTTCATTTGGAGTTACAAATCCTTTGGGTCTAATTCTGTGAGCCTACCTATAGCACTGGATTAAAATGTCTGCATCATTTCTTCAGTTATCCAGTTAAACTACAACTGTTGTAAAAGTGTAAACCAGCCCATGACAGTTTTTTGTACTTGTTTAAAGGACTTTTATTGTTCAGTTTTCATGATTATTGTCTAAAGAAGACTGATATAGATGTTCTATACTGTCCTGGACCATGTTAATTACACTTTATGATGTATTTTGGTTCTACATCACAATGATTTGTCCCCAAGGCCCTTATATCCCTTCTAGGCACATTTTCTGTTGCAGTTTCCCTTTGCATTGTATTGCTTTGACAACTGTAATTTGAATCAGATCTGAAAGAGGTCCAGAATAAAATATATTTTGATATTACCTTGGCTGAATGTTCTATACCAGTAATTTTATACGCTTGGGATGGAAGATTTGCAGATCATTAGGCTGGGGAAGTGACAGACTGAAACACTATTTTTGGCATATTTTCAGGTAAGACAAGGTGCAAACAGCAGCAGGAGGTAAATGCACTTGGTGGCTGCAGCATCTTTGTGGCACACAGTAGATCCTGTGACGGTGACACTGTCCCCTGCCACCATGTCCTGCTGATCCCTTATGGGGAACTGATTTATTTCATGTTTTACATGCTCCATCTTCCCCTCACCCCTACACGTGTGGAACAGAAGCAGAATCCAGTGGTGCTTGCAGCTGCAGCCCAGCTGTATGGAAGATTCTGGAGGTGTGGGAGCAGCTCCTCCCTGGTGATGGAATCTCACGCTGGGGATCTGGTGTTACAGAGCAGCTCAGTTTGGCTGTGCAGAGCGACGTTGTTGGTGTTACTGTATTTCAGATGTGTGAAACCATTCAGATTCACGTGTGAAACAGCACACATCCCCCATACATACAATGATTTAATTCCTTTAGAGTGATCAGTCATGTCATAATCCAAATGAAGGAACCCAGACTGTTTCTTTTCAATGTGTCTAGAACTTTTTGGTGAAAATGCTGCTTTTTCTTGCTCTAGATCCAAAAGTAATAGCTTTCTCAGTAATGCTATCAAAATTGATTGTAATATTTTGAAACTTGCTGTTGAAAAGTGCCAGTAATGAATTGAAAAAACAGAGGGACTCTGTTTTACAAGTGTAAAACCAGTCTTGCCTTCCCTTCACCTGGAGTCTGAGTGCATTGAAGGATTTCTGCATCACTTGGATTTTGAGGCAGCAGTGTTGGAGCAGCTTCGTTGTTCTGAGACAGACTGTGAGTTGATATTTCATTGGTGCAGATGCAGGAACCACAGAGCAGTGTTGTGTTATGCACACCTTGCTCTCTTGGTAGTGATGGCCAGATCCATCCTGTGAAGAGGAGACAGCATTCCAGGTAGGTGCCTTATTCCACTGCTTCCCAAATCTTCTCTTTGCACTTTAGCTAGAGCCTGATTCTTATAACTTTGTAGGAGCTTGTGGTCTCAGGTATTCAAAAGTCAATGTTCCCTGCCTCACAGGGAAATGATTTAATGAAAGTTGAAGCAATATCTTTGGTTTGCTGATGTCAGCACAGGGCAGCTGTAATGGAATAATAATTTGGGAGGAATTTATTGATGATTCTGTAGAGAATGATGATGCCCCAGTTAGTATTTTGTCCTTAAGGAAAGCTGACCCAGGATTTCTGCAGTGCAGGGGCTTTCGTGGTTATCTGACTAACTGAAAATTGGTGCCATAAAGGCATGGTTGAAGGATTCATAAAGACAGGTTTTCTTAATAGATGTCATGTGAAAATGTTCTGTTTCCAGATTAATTCTTCAGTTACCAAGTCAAGATATTGGACTGAAAAAAATGTCAAGACATCTAAATAGAAGTGAAGTACTTTCAGCAGACTATTTTCTTTTTTTCCACAGAATTTTTCTAACTTGTTCTAGATGCTGGGTGCCCTGATTTTAACCTTGAGAGCACTGTATTTTGAGCTTTCTGAACATTTCCAGACTTCACTGGCGTGGTGACAGCTCGGACTGAGCGTTCTGCCTTCACAATTAGAGAATCAAAGGGCCCAGCTCACAGTGATGCTGATGGGAAATTCCCAATTACTTCAGTGCAAGCAGACCTAGGGCAGCACTTCTGAAAAGAGAAGTTGGTGGATGAAGAATTTTTTATTCTGACATATCAAAAATCATTCCATTAAGATAAAGTTTCCTGTGGCACTGAAGTGCTCATTCCACAAACCTAAAACAACTTTTGCTCCTTGTGTGTTGTCTCAGCCTTGGTGGAAACCATGAAATCTCCAGGCTCTATTTAGTTTAATTTGTACCTTTGTCCTTGCTTCAAATGTTTCCTGCTGACAAGAATATCTGAAGGTGTGGGGCCTGCCTTTAATAAATGCCAGGCAGAGGGGCACAGGTGGGGGTTAAACCATGTGGACGTGACTGGGGGCTCTGCAAAGCTGCACTGGCTCTCCACAGCCTCTTTCTTGCTCAGGGAATTGTGCTGCTGCATCATTTGCATTTCCAGAAGCCACCTGGAGCACAGTGTCTGCTGGCTGTTGCACTTGGGCTGCACTGGGGATCTCTGCTTTATAAATATGGAAAAAGACCATTTTGTAA